GCAGCCTAGAATTCGAGCAATACTATTTTGTGTACATACTGGTATTAGTCATAACCAGGAGCCCATCACTTGTCTTAGCTAACCGCCTCCCGGTTAGCTCAATGGATAGAGCGCTGGACTGCTGTGCGGGAGGTCGAGGGTTCAAGACCCGGCCGGACCAACACTCAAGGTCTTTAAATAATTGAGAAGAATATGCTACCTTTCTATAACATCAAGAAATGGTTAGATATTCTAGTCTTCTCGGATATGGACGAATAAATGGAGATCCCGTCTTCTACAGGATTAGGGGTAGGAGAAGTTAATTTCCCACGCACGAGATTACTGTGTGATGGATGTCCTCCCCTGGGGTGGGATGGGTGGGATTTATTGAGTGGACTACTCGCATGGTTCGCATATGTTCCGTTCTAGTCCTACCCTACTGCGGTAATGCAGTAAAAGTGGTTAGAAGAAAAAAGGAAATATAAAAATTTAAAAGAAGCAAAACCAAACGGTTGAATTCTAAGACGCAGTTCAATAAGCAAAGCACGTGAATAAAATCACATCATCTCGTTATCGGTAAATGTAACCCCCTCCTCCCATCGCTCGTTTTACTATTTTGGAATGCTACTTTAAAAGAAGAATGGGTACGATATAGAATGCCAGTCCATCGCATGTTGCTCACTTTACTCGATGATCAGATTTCTATTGTTTCATGGCTCGAACCAAGACGTTTACACTACGGCGTAGTTGATCGCGCTTTTCACTGGACTACGTACCCGCAAAATCCAGATTTACATCGTGTAATTTTACTCTTCCATTACTATATGTTACAGAGTAATAACAGTAATAACACTGAAAATTGAGTTTTTCTCTTAAGCTGAACCACACGATATGTGTTTTCAAAATAAAGTCTTTTCATGAGTAGTTTTTTTCTTCAAATGAGCTGTCAATAACGGTGAGTCTACTACGCATTTTGATGTCTAATCCTTGCTCAGCGTTTCACTGAAAGGTTTACTCAGTTAACTTTGTTAATTGTACTTGTTTGTTTCTTTTTCCCCTTAATTGCGAAAATCAGGCTTAGCCAGTCTAATCGTGGATACTTTCTACTTTTCCAACCTCACCTTCAGACGAAATACCGTTGTCAGATTGTCCGGAAGAATCTCTGTTGTAGTTTGGTAATAAACGATCCTTTCCCATCGACTACAGTAAATTGGAGAAAAAACACAATTATAGACACCTATGCAACTGTGACCACATACGCAGTAAACAACGGAGATCCTAAAAATCAACTTAGAAGCAGATTTTCAAACTCGGACGATGTAGTGCATATACTAAAAAAGTTTTTTGAGTTCTAACCATGACTGTTACGGACGATGCTTGCCCTCAAACAAAACACAGTTAGTTAGCCAACGTTCAACCGTTAAAAGGGCATTAAGCTAGTACCCTAACTACTCAGTCAAAGAAAATATTTTGCATTTAACTGAAGTATTACTAGTTTCAAATCTTGGATTGATGTGACTGAGTAAATCGATTATTTTTCGAGGTGCACTGATACAATTAATAAAGGTTAATGTACCTTGATACGCTTCCTCTTTGGCTTCGTCACTAGACCCGTTGTGATGTTCCTTGGACGCTCAGAACTGATTCCATTCTGAGAGACGGTTTCTATATCAAATAATGAAAAAAACATCATTCTTTGTCACTCGCTTTGTTCCATTGTCCAAAATGTCAATCCAAAACTGTTCAAAGTGGAGTTTGCTAACACAAATACTGAATTATCTACACCATTCAAAACCCTTAATACAAATTAATTAAAAGTATATGGAAGACAGCTTTAAGGTCTTGGAAAGGAACTCTAAATGTGAAAATTGCCAAGTAATTCTATTCTCCTATGCAAACTACTTAAAGAATAATGCGGGACAGTTCTGGAGCTTTGACGTGCATGTTACACTTTCAATACATGTTAGCAAGCGAATAGAAAAGCTTTCCTGGCCCACCTTCTGACGATCTGAGAGCATTGTCACCGCATTGAAAGGCATCATTGGAGATTGGGAGAATCTGATTTTGTGGCTGGTAAAAGAGAAAGAAACCGAGTGGGTCAACTGTGGCGAGGCTGCTGGATGCTCATTTCCTTAAAAATGAACACTAGTTACAGAGTGCATGGGACAATTTTGAAAGGTATGAGAGGTTTTCTCCAAAATAAAATGGTAATTGGACTCATTAACCTAATCTAGATTATATTTATCTAGATGAATCTAGATAACGTACATATCTTTTCGCATTCACATTATTTATAATAATATTAATAATAATATACCGTTTATTTGCCACATTGCAGAATTAACTGAATTAAAGGGCTAAATTTACAATCAATAATTAGTTAAAAAAACACTTA